GTGTGTACTGTGTATATTTATTATGCATATATAAATACACACACATGCATGTATTTAAGAAAAATATGTTTTGTTTATATATAAAATATTAATATTTATGTATAATATAAATTATATATGAATATATATATATATACATGTAAATATTTAAAAAAAATATATACATGTATGTTTTTGTATTTATATATACATAATAAATATACACAGTACACACATATATAATGTAAACAAAAACTTTTATTTTGGATGCAATTAATCACAATTAATCGTTAGACTGCACTAATATATATACAGTTGTGCTCATAAGTTGAAAGGAATAAATTAAAATTTAAAATATATTCCAATATAAAACAGTTGCTTTAAATCAATAATATTTTACAGTATTACTGACTTTTTATTATTAAATATTAATAAATAATACATATTAAATATTAATAAATAATAAACTTTAGCTTTGTTCAAGTAAATATTTTTTTTATTTAAATATGTTGTTTACATATACTTTTTTTATTTATTGCTTTTAAAATCACAAATCATAAAGCAGTCATAATGCATGTCAGAGCCACAGTATTTGAAGTAGTAGAAATTTTCACTTACATTTATTAATTTAGTAGACGCTTTTATCCAAATCAACAGACATTTTTTTCAAGGTACACATTTTCTCAGTTCTTACTTTCACTGCAGTCGGACCTATGACCTTGGCGTTGCTATTTGAGCTAACGGGAGGAATCATATATGGGAGAATATTTAAATACATGTCCCATCTAAGTAGTCATATTGAATGTGAAATCTAGTGTTAATCCATCACCTTAGATAAATTAAATTGGAGTTTACACATTCAGCACAGGAATCCGTGATGGTCTAAGCCACTCCATATTATGCAAATACACAAACATTCACACTGAAGGATGGGGCTTTTTCAGTGCATTTTTTATAGGTCCCCATCACAAAATGAAATTTTAAGCCATTCTGTCACATTCAGAGAGCTCAGGACAGGAAATGCATTTTCCATTCCGTGCAGCACTCCAGGCTAGGGTTGTTTATGAAAGGCACAGGAATCCGTGATGGTCTAAGCCACTCCATATTATGCAAATACACAAACATTCACACTGAAGGATGGGGCTTTTTCAGTGCATTTTTTATAGGTCCCCATCACAAAATGAAATTTTAAGCCATTCTGTCACATTCAGAGAGCTCAGGACAGGAAATGCATTTTCCATTCCATCTAGTGCAGCACTCTAGGCTAGGGTTGTTTATGAAAGGCAGTTGTTGTAATATTGTACACATTGAGTGCTCGGCTGAGGTTTTAAACTGCAGATAGGCCATGTAAAATACTTCCAGTGCCGTAAGCAAATTTTACTTCATGGACATTCCTCCTGTTGTCATTTTGACGGTAGTTGATTTGTTCCCTTAGTGGTCAACACAAGGGCACAACAAATGTCTCAGGAGGGCACAAAAGCACACTGCCATCTCAGTGAACTTTAGAAGGACTGACTTTCCTCCTCTGACTACTCTGACATGCTTCACGGTGCCATATTGTTAAACAGACTCCACTATAGACGGCATTATTATTATGGCAGCATAGCCATAAGGACAGAAGCAAATAGAATTATGGATGTGAATGCTATCAATCACTATGCACGGTCAGGTAGCAATGGTAGAAAGAAGAAAATGCATCATCTACGACTCGCAAATGACTCACTGAAGAATATCTCATTCAAGGATAGCCAGATACCCAGAGTAAGCACAATTTCAGGTCTGTGACAAACATCCTTTTCTCTCCTGCTAGATGAATGGGTTACGTTTAGCAGAGGTAGACCCTGTGCTCCATCTTTATGTTGAATTGATTGCCACATACAAGATTTGTTTTATGAATAACATTTAATTGTGGACATGCATGCATTCTCGCACAATAAACAATTATAATTTATTTGAAGCTTGTTCAACTGCGATGTGCCTTAAGTAGCTCTGGATGCTGAAAATGAGTCTTCATTATGGTAAAGAAATGGTCAGTTAGCCTGGAGGTTTCATATTAATTATGGATTATACAGCCATGTGCTAAACATATGCGGAGCTTCGATTTTCTGGTTTGGTTGAAGCCATTTTGCAGGTGTTTCTCTGACTGCTAGAATATTCTCTTTTGCTGTGTTTAGGCCATTGAAACACTAAAATCTACACGTGATGGAGAATGGTGCACCAATCTTAATTCAAATCCGGGTGTATTTAAGGATTATGGATGCCTATCTAAGTACGAAAAGCAATTGGATTTAAGTTATAATCTCATTCCAACCCCTTGTGGAGTTCTGGAGCTTTATGTAATGCAGCTTGACTACGACTCGCTCAGCGCAGTGAATCAGCGATCCATCATATTTCACTGTCCGCTCTGTTTGTCTTAGTTTCACATGAAATTAAAATCTACACGTGATGGAGAATGGTGCACCAATCTTAATTCAAATCCGGGTGTATTTAAGGATTATGGATGCCTATCTAAGTACGAAAAGCAATTGGATTTAAGTTATAATCTCATTCCAACCCCTTGTGGAGTTCTGGAGCTTTATGTAATGCAGCTTGACTACGTACTCTAGGTACTCTAGTTACATACACACTCACATACTCAGAGACACATGAATAATTTAATCTGCCTTTCTCTGTTTTCTGTCATTCTACATTCTTTCTCATGTTCAATACATATTATCTTATATATTTCAACCCTTTCGTGGATTTTGTTTGAAAACCAAATATATATATATTTCTGCCAACGTGAACCTTAATTCGTTTTTGGCTTTGTTCCAGGTCATGATATTGCTTCAATGGCACTACTGTATGCAGTAAAAAAAAAAAATGTATAGCTTTTTCAGTTTAAGCTAGATATAGGGAAAATTAAACTCTGGTGAGTTTGCATTAATAAGAATAACAGCGTGCTGCGTTCAATGTCAGCTGAAGGCACCAAGGGGTTCAGGTGTTTGATCAGATGCTAATCAATTGGGAATGCAGCAGGGAGAGGCATGAGCACCATTGATTTTGCTCTTCTGCAGAGCACAGCTAACACAGTGTTAAAAGCCACTTTCCAAATAAACAAATGGCCACACCACTGGGGTTTGTAATAGGAAACACTGCCTCATTTCAAACAGTTTCATCATTTTTATTCTCCTGTCGCAATGATCGACTGTATATACAACAACCTGTGAAAGAATATGGTGATAAAAGACAGCTCCACTTGTGTAACAGTTGTCAGTTTGTTCATGTATTTGCAATTACAGTGCAACATATTGCTGTCAGTTGTTAGCTTTCATCTTTTTGGTGTTTTGGAAGCCTGTCTCTGAGGGCACTAATCAGGGTGTATGACCCTAGAAAATGAGTTGAACTCCATCAGTTAACCCTGTTTACTTGGTTCATGTTCAAGAATTGGATCAAAGAATTTATTTGGCTCAACATCTTGCCACTCTGTCAATGATTCAAGAGTAATTTGTTCAGACACTAGAGAAGTCACTGGAGAACTCATAAGAACAAAACAAAGTTTTTTTTTCTCCCCTTAGTAAAGAAGTAGTTTCTAAAACAATAGGTTTCATCTAACAAGTCCTCTCTAATACCTGAGGGAAAAACATGAACAGCAGCAAACACTGACCTTTCTAACCTATTGTACATTGTGGAGGTGAGACTGAGGCAATTTAAAACAACTATGGTGATCCTGCACCTTCAGAAGGTTAATGGGGAAACTGGCATGAAATCCATTGTGTATCTGAATTATTCACCAAGTGTAATTTTTTACAGAAGTGTCTCCTATTAAGGCAGAGGGTAAATTGTTCCCTTACTTGCTCTGAAGCCAAAAGCTCATTTTACATCCTTTCAGTGACTCGAGTGGGACTGCATGGCCTGCTTTTAATTGTCTCAACTTTAGATTGTGAATGTGTTTTCCGCTAGCCCTTTGAACTCAAAGCTATTTAAATGTTTCTCTCAAAAACATAAAAACAATCTTATGTACCCCAAACTTTTGAACTGTAATATACTGTATGTGTGTACTGTCATGGGACATTGTTATACTGTGGTTTAAAGTAATTAATTTAAAAGGAAGTTACATCCTTTCACAGTATGCACATATTTTACAGCAATTTCACATAGTTTTTATAGTAATACATAACATGAAGGAGATATGCAAATGTAACAATGATCTGAACTGTAACACTGATAACACTGTATGTGTTATTTTTTCAGTGGCATCCCTGGGAAGAATTGTGGTACAATTATTCTCACTGCAGAGGAACTTGGAAACTGTCGGGTAAGTCAGCAGTTTTACTTTATAATTGTTTTCTCAACCCCTTTTCTCTTTGAAATGCTTGCAACTATTCAGTAGTGAAAACCTTTTCTGAAATGATTCACTTTGATAAGAAAGCTGACTGTTATACTCTTGAAATCAGACCATTCACTGCCTGGCAGCCAAATACATTATTCCAGAAAAAATGAACCGGAATGTGCCTATGTCTGAAATATAAGTTATCTCTACAGACAAAAGGGAAACAACTTCAAAAACCATTTGAACACCAAAGCCATCTTTAAATACTTTTATTTCCATTTTACTGACTAAATGTTATAAAAGCTTAAATAATGGAATAACAGAAGTCATGGTATGTTTAGTCACATGTTTGCATCATTATTTAATACTTCTAACATGCATTATTAACCCTCTTTTACACTGGCCATTTACATTCTGATTAACTAAATAAATACCAGAACATAGGCTTGATGGAGCAGCAGTTGAAAAGTTACTGAGCATTCAGTAGTGAAGATCACTGCAGCATTCCCCATTGGGTACTGTAAGAGCTTTTGATCTAATACACAGTGAAGGCTTTGTTTGTTTCCCTTGTTCTTCTGAATAATTTCAGCTAGTATTTTAAGACCAGCTCTTATTAAACCAAAGGATTATGAAATTGGTGTAGGGATTTCTATCATATACGGACACTACTATTATGCCCC